TGTATGTCAGCGTGCGTGTATAAGCGTATTTCTATTTTGAGTGCGTGTATGTTTGTGCATGCGTTGTACCGAAGCTTAGGTTATAATATAAAATACCGGAATATGAGAACAAATTGAATATATAAAAAAAAAACCATAAACCATATATGAAATATTTGTACTAGCAAATGTTGCCAACGCCTGCAGTGTCTTTTTTTAAGGAACCAAAGTTCAGTATAGGATAAACCATGCACAGTTGCATTGCTTCTATGTGCTGTTTTTTAAGTTGGACTGTTTTAGGTTCAATGACCTGAAATCCTTTAGGTGTAGAGGGGGTGGGGGGGGGGGGGGTGGATCTAAGGACGGGCGCACTATGCGCCCTACACTACAATCCCTCTACTAGTAATCTTTATTTGAACCGATTAATCTACTTCCAACTCTACAGCCAGTTTCTTAAAAAGGCAACAGACTTAACCATTTCATCTTCTTCTGCGTCTTTTATATAAAAAAAATTCAATTACATTATAACACCATTTCACTTATCATTGCGCCTTTTGTAAATGATTTCATTACTTCTTTATACAAGTCTTATCTTCACGGTAAATTTACACCCGTATTCAACGCATCCATCCCACCTGACCGCACACATCCCCCACACAAATACCCTCACCATTCTCTCCCACCCACAACACATCATCCTCAACGTGTCCCGTCCCGGGGTACCTCACCTTAGAACCGTCTCGCCCCCACGGGCGCAGATGCACGGTAAATTAACTCACCCTCGCCTCGGTAAGGCCGATTACGAACACGAGGCGCTATTTTTATCCCCGGTTAAACACATTATTCTTACCTGGGGATCGAAGGAATCAATCAGATTAACGTTCAATCGAGCTACGAATACAGGGATTAGCAGGATAGAGAGGTATTTATTACTATGTTTAAATTTTACAGTAGAACTCGTAAAAAACTGTTAACTTATTATTAATAATTATTGTTTTATTGTTAATCTTGGTGTAAGAAATTAAAAAAAAAAACAATAGAATCTACGTATGATATATAAAAATATAAACAAGTATTTGAACACTAATTCGTGATTCGTTTTAAGAGAAAAAAAAAAAAAAAAAAATACAACCCAACAAAACAACAACACATTACACAAAAAGCTGTTGCCTTGTTTTTGTTTGGTCGCGGTGTCTTGATATTAAAGTTAAACTGGTTCAGTTTCTCTCGATAGGAAGAAGAAGGAGGGGTGGGGGTGGCTCGACTTCTTTTCCATTCATTGTTATACTAAAGGTCATTTCCTCCAACTATAAGTAAATATTAAGCGCAAACATGTTATGCCCGTTGTCTTTGACTGAGGAAAACCTTTTCTAGATCTCTATTTTTATTTTCTTTTAATAACATTTTCCATCCAAAAGTTGTCTGATTTTAGTTTTCTATCCTTATTACGTCTCATATCTTCTAAAAGAGTTTAGAGACGTACCTTCAGTTTGAACTCTGAACTCTTCTCTAAGACTGATCTAAACGCATAAGCAGCACATATTAATGAAGGATGTGCATTTTGTATAGTGCCATTTTATTAACTACAATCGCAAAAAAAAATGCACATCTAATTCTATTTTATATTATTATAATTGTAAAATAATTGTTTCGTTTTTTATTTTATTTTTACACCGAACGGCAAATATCAGAGACACGTAGGTGTTTGTTGACTGCCTGTCACAATAAGTTCCATTACAGGTTGTATCTTAATTCCTTGAGTTCACCCAGCTGTAATGGGTACCTGACCCGAGACACGGATAACACAGCCTGTTTATTTATACGGTGTTCGCAACAATAAACAAACCCCACTTTATCTACACCATACCACTGCATACATAAAAGGGTAATTTCAATTTTCATGTGTAAATTAAACATAGTTTCTTTATAGTACATGAAAAAGTATAATGCATACCGTTTTTCTTATGGAATGCTAAAGAAACAATATTTGTTTCGTACGTGTTTGTGTGAGTTAGAAAAAGATAACAAAGAACAAACAAACATATAAAGAGGTATTAAAAGCATATTGTTGTATAAGCTTCAGCAACAATAAATTACTTCTTGAAAAAATGTTGTATACATCTTTAATACAAGCGATGCAGTAAACAACACGGAAAATTAGTGAGGTAATAAAAGGGGAAATAATTTTGAAATGTTTTATAAAATTGAGTTATTAATTCTAAACCTCATTTTATGGCAATGTAGTTACTTTCTTTAGGATTATCTATACACAAAAATTTTGAAATTTTAAAAATAAATACATTTTTAAAAATTAAACACGGCGACTGTTTTTAATGTCTATTTTAATATGAATTATTCGACCTAATAAACCTTTAGAAAATTTACTTCAGCTGTCAATTTAAAAACTGCTATTTCAAGTATTAGTATTTTAATAACTATCGACTACTCTGCTTTTTTATTAAATCACGAAAAATAAACTATTAAAAAAACCAAAACAAATAAAACTTTGAAAGAAAAAAATTTAATTTTTACAGTATGTGCAAAAAATCATATAAGGCGGGAGTAAATGAAAATCCCAGTATTGACGTGTCGTCTGCACAAGCTGGTAATGAACCCTCGCGACGCCTCGCGTATGTGCATTGTTCACGTGTTGATATGGGTACTCACTACGCTACGTATACCGCCCGTCATATTGATCTCCATATTTACTCATTGTTCACTGCGGGCGACCGGTCAGCCGGCTACCGGCCGGCCGTCACAACAAGCTGCTGGTAAGTGTGCCGGTTTGATTTCAATCCCCGCCGGTGATGGTAAAATGGTAGTCAGAGGTTTTAAAATATTGACTGTTTTTTTTTTGTTAGAATATTTTGCCAGTAGTTTTATAAATTTAGTCCGGTTTGTTTTAAAATATTAACCGGTAGTGTTATAATAGTAGCCGGTTTTTTAATATATTTCTTTTAAAATTGTAGCCGAAAGTGTTAAAAACTAAGATGCAGATGTTAGCTGGTAGAGTAAAAATATGCGCCGGCAGTGTTAAAATTAATAAAATACTAGCCGGTTGTTTTAACATATTCGTCTGTTGTACTGTATAATAGACAATCGTATTACTCCATAAACGAGCCATCAATATTTTTTTTTACCGGATATATGAAACTAAGATGCACCGGTCTTTGAATTATTGACATAGTTGCTAGTCGGAAGTACATTGAAGCCGAATATATCTATCAACAGTATAAAACTATCATTTAATACTACTTTAAACATTCGAATTAATTAGTATTTATTAGTCAGTTTTTAATTATACATTACTATTATTGCTAAATAATAATTTAATTATAAAGTAATAAAAGTTTTATTTCTATTTTTTAACTTGACATGCACAATTTAGTAATAACAGCCCATTAAGGTTTAAAAGGTTTCATTAAAATAAAAACTATTAGTCTATAGTGTATACACATTACACAAGTATGGATTCAGTATGTTTGGATAATTTGTAGTATTGTATTAGTAAGTACAGTTAAGATAGGTTAGTTTAGTCTATAGAAGTATGGACTAGTTCAATTCTATACAGGCTATTATTTAAAGAGATACCAATACCGGTTTTAGATTATTGAATGTCAGACACAAATATCAAATGCATTTTAATAGTATGAAAAAAAACATAAGGCAGTTTTTAAAAAAGTTTTTAATGACATAATATGTGATCAGTGTTTAGAAGAAAATATGCCGGTTGATTTAAAATGATAATTTTTTTTCCGGACGTGATTTTATTGGTAAATATGTAAGAAAATTTTGCGATATTTAATTACAATTCATAGTTTTTCGCTTTCCCAACTACATCGATATAGAGAGAAAGCAGATGTATTTAATTGCACTTTAAAAAAAAAGAATTTTTTATTTTTATATTAAAAAATATTGTTGACATATTATATTTATAAACTGTTGTGTTAAGTTCAAATGTTTACGTTTTAAAGTGAGTTAGGAATACACGCTGCGCCTGTTTTCAATGCGTTACACTTCGCTTTGTTTTGATAATGTCAATACGTGGATTAAACCAAACACCCCTACCATTCACAACTACCTAACCATTTAAGCTCATTGAAGCTCAGGGTTAGCGGGTGCAGATCAGCTTATGTAATGTTTAGGGCTATGGCTTTTTGTTTGTTTTGTAGATAGTGTACGTGAAATGTAATATTACTGGGAAAACTAAATGTAGTTTAATTTGATGTTAGCCTAGATTTCGCCCAAGGTTAGTTGAACGTGTAAGACTAATGTAGTTTTAGGTTCAGCCTAATGTTATTTGTAGGTTCAGCCTAATGTTATTTGTAGGTTCAGCCTAATGTTATTTGTAGGTTTAGCTTAATGTTAGATGCACGTTTAGCCTAATTTTAGATGTACTTTTAGCGAAATGTTATTTATAGGTTTAGCCTAATGTTAGATGTAGGTTTAGCGTAATGTTAGTAATTTTAATCTAAGAATGTATGCCTACTTTAAGTCTAATTTTAGGTTAATGTTTAGCCTACCGTTCGATATATGTTTAAACTAGTGATCATCATCTTCTTTCCCGTTCGTGCCCAAGTCGCTTGGGGCAGATGAAGAAGAGTTTACCTGTTTCATAGACCTCGGCATATGAAAGATTAGTGTGGTCAGCACTATACCCAGACGCTTTTGTTTTCCCTAACGTGAGCTACGTACCCATCAGAGCTGGGTGGACTCAGGGACATTCTACTGACTTGAACCCGGAATCGAACTCGACTTTCGGTTTAGCAGTAGCTCTCTACCGCCAGGCCACGCCGTCCCATAGACTAGTACATTTATTTTTATTATTATTAACTGAATTATTTATACGTTTTACCACGTGCCGCACACTTAACCTAACGTACATTTCGCCTAGTTTCATCTGTACGTTTAGCCTACTGTTATTAATTTAATTTAAATCAACAACGACAACGACAGCAACCACACAACAACATTTTTCTTACATGTTTATCATCATCTTTATTTATCTTCTCCCCCAACAGAGATTCTTCTGGTGTCTCGACAGACACAGGAAGTGACGACACATTCTCACACCGCTGGGAAAAACATGAGCGGTAAGATTATTTTTCAAATCCTTCTATTAATAAATGCAATATAGGGCCTACATTTAAAAATCATTCATAATCTTAGACATTAACTGTATCTATGAACTATAATTGTCAATACAATTATTTTAACACTATAGGTTAAGATTATTTGGACTTTTCTTTGTCTAAGATATATAAAGTTTCTGGTTCGGTTATGATAAGTGTTTGAAATATATTTAAAAATTCTACTTCCTCTATTGGTCTCGGGGAGAGTAGCAGAGTTAAGAAAACGAGGGTACGGCTAATCGACGAAATCCTCGTTTCCAAAGTTATTCAAAAGCCCGTTGATGTAACTGAGTACGCCAGTGCGTCAAGGATTATAACTAAATAATCTGAAAGCCTAAACTCTCATAATAATTGATTTAATGACGCTTGTCGTCTCGCGTGTTGACGTCATAATCACGTCATAGGGACGCGAGGTACGGCGTTCTAGCCCAGTGACGTCCGTCGCTTCACCGGACATGACGCGCCGGAGCGTGACGTAAGCAAATGGACGACGAGATCATTTCTAACTCGAGTACTTGTAGTACTCCGACAGGGGAGAGCATCGTCTATCGCCGGAGTTAGCGCCTTTCAGTCTTACGGTCTAGAGACTACTGACTCGGGACTCGTGCCTTGATGCGTATTACGTCATCGTCCAGTCAACACCTCCGTCACCGCGACCGTTACACGCGTCGATGACGTCATACAATCGTAACTCTACCTGAGCTGTCTAGAAGGTTGAGAAATATTTGTGGGTATTTGGAATGTACACGAGAAATGGTCTCAACACTTAGTTAAACTTTTGTAGGACGTATAATATTATTGGTCAACACATTGAGAATAGGCTGGACTAAGTTTAGTTTGCAACGGAACTAGTTAGATTTAGGGTTAGGTGGAGATTGTATTTCATGGAGGTTAACGTTACTGTGACGGTAAGACTGAGTTTAATGTTTAAGGTAAATTTAAGTTTAGACACCCCATCGGTTAGGGCTCGGTGGTTTAGGATTATTAGTTTTAACGGTATGATAATGTTTTTACTTTTAAAATAGGTTTGGCTTAGGTTCGGTGTTTTTTGTTTATTACAAATACTTAATTACGCCTAACAAAAGATTACCCTGTTACTGAATAAGCATTCACTGCTTTTACAATTTTACTAACGTGTGCAAAATAAAATATAACAAAATATTTAACACATTTTCGACGAAAAATTAAACTTTTATAAAATCATGCAACGTATTTTCTCCTATTGTTTTGTTATGAGCGCAGTGGTTACGACGTGTTCGATCAGAAAAAAAATCTACTTCCGGTATATCGTATCTACAACCAAGCCGCCATCTTGGAGCCGCTTGTCCTACCGTGTCGTCAGGCTCCCGTCTGCTCCTCCACAGGGCTCGTGCCCGGGGCCCGTCTCCCCATCTCTTCAGGGAGGGGGAGGGGGGTGATCTCTTCATGTTTGCTGAGCATGCATCAGCATATCATCTGAAGTATTGACCAGCCGTCTCTCCCTTTGGCCGCATACGATCATCAAGTTAGGTAACCAGAGCTAGGCCAGGGGGTGCCGGAGGAGGGAGGGGTAGGAGGGGGGGGGGGGGTCGGGTCGTGAGGCAAAGAAAAGATATTGGAGGGTATTTTTAGAATCTTCGATACATTTGTTCTGGATATGGATCGGATGAAGGTCGCAGTCACCGGGTTGTCGCCCATTTTCTATGATGGTCGCGCGATGATAATTGTGATGATGATGATTGTAATGTTCTAAAGAACAATGACATCAAGTAATTTTCCTAGTGCTACGCCTGCGACTGTTACCGCTTTCTATTATTAACTGCTTGTCTTAACTTTTACGATTGTTGTTGATGATGATAAAAGATATTAGAAGTTATTTGATATCATAATTACTTTTATCTACAATTTTCATTATCATTTTAGCGTGCAGTATTATTTTAATTACGTTTGTTGACGATATTGCAAATGTGTAAAAAGCATAATATAAAAATACTAATAAGTTCTTAGTTTTGTAGGCGCATAATCATACAACTAAAGTACACTATATGCGGTCTGTTATAGATTGCAAGTTATGCTCTTAATTAAGCGGATATTCCAAATTAACCGAACGGTTATTTTAAGCTCAACACAACCGGTTACTTAAACTTAACATAAGGAGTTCAATAAATAGCATAATTAGCAGGTGTTATAATTTATGTAATGTTAACTGGAAAATTATCTATTTATAACAGTAGAGATAGACCTGTTTATAGATCTTTAAAAGAAAGTTTTGACCTTTGTTGTACTAGAATGCTTTAATTTGTAATTTTAATATGGCGTTCAGATCTTTGACTAGACGTTTAGATAATTTTTATAATTAGGCAAGGATTATAAAAAAACAACCCATAGCAGTCAGATTGATATCTTAATTAATAATTCTAATTAACAAAGCGGCTAAATCATAGATTTAACAATTATTGTTTTAAGCTACATTATTAGCGGCCCACAAATAATTTTGCTAGTATGATCAGTTCTGTGTCACAATATCACGTTAATTTTTTAATAACAAATTGCAAATACAATTGCTAGTGATAATTGTATATGACAGTATAATATTTATGCACTCGTACTAGTCGATCAGATAGTGGACTATATTTTTTTTTACTACCAGCGAAAACCACTCGATCTATAACGGGATAGAAAGATGGACGGAGACAGCGGAGGAATACATAGCTTTAGAATGAAGACTCCCGGAGGGGCAAAGTTCCCCCCCCCCCCCCCCCATCTTCCCCCACGCGTACTCTCCAACTTTGGCGCGTTATTCCAATTTGCCGAGTTGAATGGCTATTGAGTTGGTGCCGTGCCGTGGGACCCCTCGGGCGACGAGCGTCTTTCGTGGAGGGCGTCGCCCTGTATGGGGCGCTCCGCTTGTGGGGAGGCGCGGCACCGAGAGGTCAACGTTTTGGGAGGTGGCGGAGGGCCCATTAGACTGACTCTGTGACTCTGACTCTCTAGTTATTTTTGTGACACGGAATTTAAAAAAAAAAAGCATTGTTATAGATTTGTCATGAATAATTGTTCAGCTTAAAAGGCGGGTAAAATTATGTTCGTTTCCTACACGTATTAGCCTCTCGTTTAGATCAAGATAGATACACGAAGAGCATTTTCTGATGTTCATTAATTTAATGACCATGCACTTAATGTACTGATTCTCTATACCAATACGTTGATTCCATTTTTAAGTAAGGTGTCACTCATAAACAACTTCACGAATTTTCGACGATTTATCAATGACCCCCCTCCCCTCCGTCACACATCGTTACAAAAAGCCAGACCGCACCCATAAAATGAGGTAACACCTCAGCCTACAACCACCTTCAAAACTGCAGTTGAAAAATTTTAATTTCTTTTTAAGTTATAGAATAAAGCTTAAAAACCTACACTTATTTTGCTTTCTTAAAGTATACAATCACTGACCCACTCAAAACCTCCAGTATACAATCACTGACGCACAACTCACAGAATACAATCACTTACCCACCCCACACCACAGTATACTAAATTGATTGTAGAAAAAAAAATCACAGGAAAAAAAAACACAGGAAAAAAAAACACAGAAAAAAAGTCACAGGAAAAAAAGTCACAGGAAAAAAAGTCACAGGAAAAAAAGTCACAAATATATATTTGCATGATATTTGTTAATACTTTTAAGTTTTATGTATTAAATATTTAGAGAGTGCAAATTAACTTAGGATTAATTAAATATAATGTAATGTGTGTAGGCTGTATAATTATAATTCATCTAAAAATATTTATTATGAAGTATGTAGATTGTAATTATGTTAAACTTGAGATTAATAGCATATAATAGAATGCTCTAAAGTCTACGGTTTTCATCGTGTTTTTTTTTTAAATACCAATATTAAATTACCGCGAAATGTTAAGTTCATCTGACTTGCTGCCCTCAACTCATGGCAACAATAGTTATGTTTAGTTCAACCACCTTTACTGCCCACATTTATCACGCTCATTACATAACAAAACTTAGGATCAAAACAGAAAGCCGACAAGGTTCAAAGGCTGTGATTGACGCATAACGTCAACAACACAAAATATGTGCGGACAATGCCTACTGAGGAGAGGCCGACCAGAGAATAGCCTACGGCAAAATTTACCTACATTTCTTTTATAATTAACTTTTCTACCGCGTATTTAACTAAATACGTAACAAAAGTTGAGATTGTTGTGTAAATTATCTTAGAGTATTTTTACTTACAATTGTTATAGGCCTATATCATAATGCTTTTAACGTCTATAAATAATTTATGCTATCAAAAAATACAACCCACAACAATAAACATACAAAATTTTACAATTCTTAACAAATTAATAAAAATATTTCTAAAAAGATTTTTGTGACTTTTTTTCTGTGACTTTATTTCTGTGACTTTTTTTTCCGATAAAATTTGTCCACTGTGACTTTTTTTCTGTGACTTTTTTTCCTAGCAAAAACTGTGACTTTTTTTCTGTGTTTTTTTTTCCTGTGACTTTTTTCCGTTTACCACTAAATTACCCACCTCACACCACCAGTATACAATCACTGACCCACCACAACAACTCCAGTATACAATCACTGACCCACCCCCCCACCTCTAGTATACAATCACTGACCCACCCCCACACCTCCAGTAATCACTGACCCACCCACACACTTCCAGTAATCACTGACACACCCCCACACCTCAAGTATACAATCACTTACCCACCCCCACACCTCCAGTAATCACTGACCCACCCCACACCTCCAGTAATTACTGACCCACCCCCACACCTCCAGTAATCACTGACCCACCCCCACACCTCCAGTATACAATCACTGACCTACCCACACCTCCCTTAATCACTGACCCACCCCCACACCTCCAGTAATCACTGACCCACCCCCACACCTCCAATAATCACTGACCCACCCCCACACCTCCAGTAATCACTGACACACCCCCACACCTCCAGTACACAATCACTAACCCACCCCCACACCTCCAGTAATCACTGACCCACCCCACACCTCCAGTAATCACTGACCCACCCCCACACCTCCAGTAATCACTGACCCACCCCCACACCTCCAGTATACAATCACTGACCTACCCACACCTCCATTAATCACTGACCTACCCACACCTCCAGTAATCACTGACCCACCCCCACACCTCCAGTAATCACTGACCCACACCCACACCTCCAGTAACCACTGACCCACCCCCACACCTCCAGTAATCACTGACCCACCCCCACACCTCCTGTAATCACTACCCACCCCCACACCTCCAATAATCACTGACCCACCCCCACACCTCCTGTAATCACTGACCCACCCCCACACCTCCAGTAATCACTGACCCACACCCACACCTCCAGTAACCACTGACCCACCCCCACACCTCCAGTAATCACTGACCCACCCCCACACCTCCTGTAATCACTACCCACCCCCACACCTCCAATAATCACTGACCCACCCCCACACCTCCTGTAATCACTGACCCACCCCACACCTCCTGTAATCACTACCCACCCCCACACCTCCAATAATCACTGACACACCCCCACACCTCCAGTAATCACTGACCCACCCCCACACCTCCTGTAATCACTACCCACCCCCACACCTCCAATAATCACTGACCCACCCCCACACCTCCTGTAATCACTGACCCACCCCCACACCTCCTGTAATCACTACCCACCCCCACACCTCCAATAATCACTGACCCACCCCCACACCTCCAATAATCACTGACCCACCCACACCTCCAGTAATTACTGACCCATCCCCACACCCCCAGCAATCACTGACCTACCCCCACACCTCCAGTAATCACTGACCTACCCCCACACCTCCAGTAATCACTGACCCACCCCACACCACCAGTAATCACTGACCTACCCCCACACCTCCAGTAATCACTGACCCACCCCCACATCTCCAGTAATCACTGACCCACCCCCACACCTCCAGTAATCACTGACCCACCCCACACCTCCAGTAATAATTAACCCACCCCCACAACTCCAATAATCACTGACCTACCCCCACACCTCCCGTATACAATCACTGACCCACCGCTACACCTCCAGTAAGCACTGACCTACCCCCACACCTCCAGTAATCATTAACCCGCCCCCACACCTCCAATAATCACTGACCCACCCCCACACCTCCTGTATACAATCACTGACCCACCGCCACACCTCCAGTAATCACTGACCCACCCCACACCTCCAGTAATCACTGACCTACCCCCACACCTCCAGTAATCACAGACCCACCCCCACACCTCCAGTAATCACTGACCAACCCCCACACCTCCTGTAATCACTGACCCACCCCCACACCTCCAGTAATCACTGACCCACCCCCACACCTCCAGTAATCACTGACACACCCCCACACCTCCAGTAATCACTGACCCACCCCCACACCTCCAATAATCACTCACCCACCCCCACACCTCCAATAATCACTGACCAACCTCCACACCTCCAGTAATCACAGACCCACCCCCACACCTCCAATAATCACTGACCCACCCCCACACCTCCAATAATCACTGAACCACCCCCCCCACCCACACCTCCAATAATCACTGACCCACCCCCACACCTCCAGTATCAATGACCCACCCCACACCTCCAGTAATCACTGACCCACCCCCACACCTCCAGTAATCAAGTAATCACTGACCCACCCCACACCTCCAGTAGGCCTAATCACTGACCCACCCCCACACCTCCAGTAATCACTGAACCACCCCCCCCCCCCCCACCCACACCTCCAGCAATCACTGACCCACCCCCACACCTCCAGTAATCACTGACCCACCCCCACACCTCCAATAATCACTGACCCACCCACACCTCCAGTAATTACTGACCCATCCCCACACCCCCAGCAATCACTGACCTACCCCCACACCTCCAGTAATCACTGACCTACCCCCACACCTCCAGTAATCACTGACCCACCCCACACCACCAGTAATCACTGACCTACCCCCACACCTCCAGTAATCACTGACCCACCCCCACATCTCCAGTAATCACTGACCCACCCCCACACCTCCAGTAATCACTGACCCACCCCACACCTCCAGTAATAATTAACCCACCCCCACACCTCCAATAATCACTGACCTACCCCCACACCTCCCGTATACAATCACTGACCCACCGCTACACCTCCAGTAAGCACTGACCTACCCCCACACCTCCAGTAATCATTAACCCGCCCCCACACCTCCAATAATCACTGACCCACCCCCACACCTCCTGTATACAATCACTGACCCACCGCCACACCTCCAGTAATCACTGACCCACCCCACACCTCCAGTAATCACTGACCTACCCCCACACCTCCAGTAATCACAGACCCACCCCCACACCTCCAGTAATCACTGACCAACCCCCACACCTCCTGTAATCACTGACCCACCCCCACACCTCCAGTAATCACTGACCCACCCCCACACCTCCAGTAATCACTGACACACCCCCACACCTCCAGTAATCACTGACCCACCCCCACACCTCCAATAATCACTCACCCACCCCCACACCTCCAATAATCACTGACCAACCTCCACACCTCCAGTAATCACAGACCCACCCCCACACCTCCAATAATCACTGACCCACCCCCACACCTCCAATAATCACTGAACCACCCCCCCACCCACACCTCCAATAATCACTGACCCACCCCCACACCTCCAGTATCAATGACCCACCCCACACCTCCAGTAATCACTGACCCACCCCCACACCTCCAGTAATCAAGTAATCACTGACCCACCCCACACCTCCAGTAGGCCTAATCACTGACCCACCCCCACACCTCCAGTAATCACTGAACCACCCCCCCCCCCCCCACCCACACCTCCAGCAATCACTGACCCACCCCCACACCTCCAGTAATCACTGACCCACCCCCACACCTCCGTCCACAGAGTCGAGGCAATGAAGGAGAAGTCTAAGAATGCCGCCAGGACGAGGCGAGAGAAAGAAAATGCCGAATTCTACGAGCTGGCCAAGATGCTGCCCCTGCCGTCGGCCATTACGTCACAGCTGGACAAAGCCTCCATAATCCGGCTCTCGACGAGTTATCTCAAAATGAGAGCTGTATTTCCTGACGGTGAGTGAAGTTTCATGTTTGGGTTCTCCCCCTTGATGTCTTTCGCTGAAAGGGAGATAATGTTTTGAAACACTTTTTTAAAACTTCTAGATCCGACCTCCACAATTTAAATAATTATTTCCTGTATTTTTTTTATACTAAGTTTTGTTTAACAAATAAATGAGCAGTACTTCTGAATTTTAGTCAGCTCCAAATATCACTTTTGAAGCAATAGTTAAATTCTTGCACAGAAAACCCATGATAATATTACTCGCAGCGGTATTAAATATACCCTGTAAGTCGAAATCATTTAATTTTCGTAAATTCGTGTTCCCTGTCAATTAAAAATAATTATAAACAAAAACAAAAATTATACTATCTATTCCTAACGGGTACATAAACAATTCCTAACTACTGATGTGCGTAATTAATCTGTTTACCTATGTTTAAAATAACTAAAAAAAAACCATTTAGGTACAATGGCGGATATTTTCTACGGTTGACATTGTAAACTGACTCACCAAAGCTACAAATGTCTTTTAAAAGGAATTGGAAAATAAAACTTGTCTAGTTCATAATTTTTGAAAATGTTTTTTTAAAAAAAAGATCATCACAATAGAGTAAAATAAAAACATTGTTTATTTTTTTTATTAATAAAGCAACAAAAACTAGACTTATTTATTCGCCAGTGTAAAAATCTTCAGATTTTTAAAACAAATAAAACAACAAAAGGACTACTATCACTATACACGCGTCTCAGTATCAATGCACCCCCCCCCCTTCTCACCCCACCAACCCAATTAGCATACGGGTCTCTTGATAATTATTCTCAGGTCCTCGCCCGGACACATGCAGGCTGTTCACCGTAAAGGGGCCGCAATCTGTCGTGCATTATGTGCTCATAATATGCTCTCCCCTTAGCCGGCGCTGAGACCATTTTTTCCAGCTACTTGACAATGCTCAGAAGATCATTAACCCTTCAGATACTGACTCCCGCTCTCCCCCGGTGAAGTGGGACTATTATAGCCCAGTATATTTTATCCGATTATTGGAGATTTAACAAATTCTAAGCTAATACTCTACCAAAATAAAAATCGTATTTAAAATTATAAAAAAATAAATAAAAAAAATAAATAAAAATGCTGTTTTTCGATTGGGGCGGTATATTTTCTAAAAATAAAATGTATAAATGTACACAAAAGGTCATTACTCATGTGCAATTTAAATAATTATTAAAATTTTAAAAAAAATCTACTTTTATAAAAATCACAAACATTTATTTGGTTAGGAAATTTTAGATTAAAGGATACTCATATTTGTCATACCCGATTTTCAATTATTGATTACCGACTAAACCCTGGCCCTTACATTATAGGATAAACACATGACACTTGAGTAATAAGATATTTGATAAACAATAATAGTGTGTCCGTTAAATTCTCAACCATTCGATACATTATACTGCTGCACATCAAGAGACCATCATTCTCTAGGACGTCTTTGACATCTTGCACACGATAATTCCGCTTGAAGCTACGGACAGATTCCTCACAGGGCCGGACAAACAACGGGGCCCAAGTCCAAACACTAATCTTTACTTCATTATGGGCATGCATCGCGGACATCGGGCGGTTTATTTAAATGGGAACTGTGTCAACTTGACCAGGTTTACCCCACCTCCCCCCTCCCCTCGCCCGTCGGACGCCAGGCACCCGGCCAGCCCGACAGACCCCCCCCCCCCCCCCGCCATCCCTCCACTCAAAACACACAAACCCAATGTTCGACTCTAGGCTTGAGACCAACATTTGAGGACATGGTTCTCCCCCCTTTTTTAAAAAAATGATAGCTTTGATTCCTTCATATCAATAGCTGCTTCAAATATGTCCTTAAACTACTTCACATAATATCCTATACCTATTTCACATAATGTCATATACCTACTTCACTTAATGTCTTATAACTGCTTCCATAATGTCCTATACCTACGTCTCGTAATGTCTTATAGCTACTTCCCATAATGTCCTATACCTACTTCATTTAATGTCATATAACTACTTCCCGTTACCCCCCTATACCTACTTAACATAATGTCCTATAAATACTTCAAATACTGTCCAATAACTATTTCACACTAAGTTTTTCCCCCATTTCTTTAAAGCTAGAAAAATACCAACTTCTTTTCTCCAACTAAACACGTCCACAAAATACCACAATTTCCCCCCACCTCATTCACCCATGTTCATATCATCATTTCCCAATACCTCTCTCCCTACACAAAGCGAAAAAAAAATCCACTTTGTGAAGGCAATCATACATGACTTTATATTCACTTTGTTCAAAGCGTTCAATTGTCGAATACATACTCGGAGTTATAAAACAGATGTTGAATGGATTAAGATGGAGGCAAAAAAAATAAAAAGGGAATTTTCTAATCGAAGTGTAAGTCGGCGAAGTTTGAGGAATGTATATGTGGGATGAAGAAATGTTAAGGGTAGTTCGATACTTGTAAAGATTGGGGGACTGCTGCGGCTTTTCTTGTTATTTCAGTTCAAGTCGACCTTATAAAGAACAGTAGCACTATCTAGAGTTTCTTTCAGATGTTTTTTTGGGAGAAGGGGGGGGGGAGGCACCGTGGACGAAATAGAATATATACAAAATATATACTTCAACCAGTGTCCGCCGTCCGCAACCCGAAAATTCGAAACTGAAGTCCGCAAGTTCCAAAATTTTCAAATCCTTCTCTCTCTCTCCCCCCCCCCCCCCCCCCCTCCCCACTCATGGAGAAATATGTCTGAAAGTAATAACGGTCCTGTCGTGAAATAATGGAAAATGAAGGAAAGGGTAAAATGTGAATGCAGCTGTTATTTGTGATTAAAAAAACAAACCATTTTTAATTATCTTTTTACATTAGGAACTTTTACGCATACATACATACAGACACAGACACACAGACACGCGCGCGCACACACACACATTAATATATATATATATATATATATATATATATATATATATATATATATATATATATATATATATATATATATATATATATCGTTGTTGGCAACTACATCATCAACTGAAGCTCAAGATTTAAAAATAGAGGAATGTACAATAAAGCCGTTCTTATCAAGAAATTTCTAAAAAGATAAATACAAAAAAACTTTCTATTTGATTACGTTTTATAGAGCAAACACGTTGGTAGAATTTTTTTTTTTTAGAAAGTGAGAATATCACATTACTATTGGAGTATCCGGCCCGTAGCATTCCGAAGCTTGAATCAGAACTTAGAAAAACCCGTTACAACAGGTACTAGCATAAAAGCAATAAGCTGTAGGGTTCTTAGTGGTCAGAACCACATTACATACCACTCGGAAAAGTCAGTTTTAGTGGATCAAATGTGACTTTCTTTTTTAGAACGAGTGTATTTGCGATAATACATATAAAATAGTAAATCTCAACTGGGGATATGTTGGACATTAGATTGGAATCCCCATGGGAAACAGAAAAAATAGTTAGGCCTAAACAAGCTTGGGTGAGATCAGTTGTCAGTGAAGTATAAGTAGTCTGAATGTCATGGACCCAACTTGGGAGGAATAGGGCTTGTAAGTCTACGGTCTCGAAATCTACTAGCTGTAGAGTACGTGAATGAGAAGTTGTGACCTACTTACAAGCCCTATAGCTTAAAGCGGAAACGATGGAGAGGTTGCGTCCCTAAAAAAAAAAAAAAGAAAAGACAAACTTGAAAATAAAACAATAGGCCTATAACTTAAATGGATTGTTTTATAAAATAATTAGAAAAGCAGGCTAGGTACTGTTTTGTCTGAGCTTTTTGTCAGAATAAGCGCAGTGAGAAATCTCGCCCGGCCATAGACGGACCTCGGGTGTGAAGTTTCGCTGAGGTGTTGGTCGAGCTGACAGCTGATTAGGATCTGTCCGCCCCATTAGCTCGCGGACAACATGACTGTCTTGTTCCTGGGCAAACAGTGGAGGGGATAGAGGTAGATAACCGGGGAACATTGGTTGGTGAGAGGGAACATTGGGAAGCAAGGTGGGAACATAGGTAGGTGGTGAGGGTATATTGGTAAGGGTGGGGGGGGGTATTTTTAGGGGAGAGGGAGAGTTGAGAGATGGTGAGGGGACTTTGGAAAGTTATAAGAAAATTCTGGTATCAGGTGTGGAAACATGAGTAGGTGGTGAGGGAACATTGGTAGGCCGCGAGGGAACAATGGTAGACAGACAGGGAACATTGGTAGACAGACAGGGAACATTGGTGGGTGGTGGGTAAAAGATGAGACAGTAGAAGGAACATAGGTAGGGCTGAGGGAATGTTTTACGTGTCAGGGAACATTGTATGAAAGGAACACGCAAAAGTGTTGAGGGTAAAGTGAGTTGGATGAGGGAACAATAGTAAATGGTGAGAAGTGAAAAATTCACTTTTAGGTGTTTTGAAAAAAAAACCCAGTACTAATGAGATGTTAAAACGTCCATTTTTTTTAAAAAAATGTGGACGAAGAGAACAATAAAAATAAATGACCCATGTTAAGTGTCTACACTCAGCTCTATAGGGTACAACAACTTAATTAAGCCGTATTCATATCCTTGAGACATTCTCCAGGAAATAGCCTCGCTCGCCTAGCCCCACCCTCGTCCAAGTATACCAAATAACAACAGAATGTATCAAGCAACACTATTCTATCGTGTCAGGCATATCCCCATCTCCCGGAAACTTTTTGTCCCACCACTCCATGTTAAACCCATTACAACACATCAACAACGCGCAAGCTTTTCTCACGTTTATTTTTACTTAACTCTAACACCCTTCACCACCACTCTTTACACGCCGGCACCTATTTCTACCGGGGTTCAAAACCTGCCGAGGATCTGGTTCGTCTGGCGTGGTGTGAGTAAGATAGGAGTCAGACCCCCCCCCACCCCCACCCCCACCCAACCCTAACCGTCACGAGTGTTTTCTTTACCGACCATCGACACAACCACTGCTTATGTTTCTGCTGAGTCGG